TTTAACCCATTTTTCGATTATTGGGTTTTAAAACTTTTTCATGTGTTCCATTTATGAAATGAATATGAAAAAACGAAAAAGTATAAAGTAGAAGCTTTGAAAAATCTAAAAATTGGAAATAAAGAATTTAAAAAATTAAAGAAACAAAAATTAAAAAATCGAAAGATTAAAAACTGAGAGAAACTTAAAAATCGAAAAAATGCAAAATCGAAAAAACGAAATTTTGTAAAATCGAAACATATACGTATTGAAAATTAAAGATCGGAAAATCGGATAAATGAGAAATCGAAAAACTTCAAAATTGAATAGTTTAAAAATTGGAAAACCGAAAAATTGGAAATTTGAAAATTTGAATAAACGAAAAATTGTGATATGAAATCGAGAAAATGAAAATTAAAAAATCGGGAAAATGAAAAATAAAAAATCAAGAACTTGAAAAATTGAGGAAACGAAAAATAAAAAAAAAATCTTTTCTCAATGTGAAATTTCTCAATTTTTCGATTTTTCAATGTTTAGATTTTTTTATTGTTTGTTTCTCAATTATAGATTTTTCAATTTTTCGATTTTTCGACTTTCATTTCTTCAATTTTTTATTGGAAATTTTTGTAGCTTTCAATTTGAGTATGTTATAATTTAAAAAATTTTCAATTTTTCGATTTTCCAATTTCAGATTTAACCCATTTTTCGATTATTGGGTTTTAAAACTTTTTCATGTGTTCCATTTATGAAATGAATATGAAAAAACGAAAAAGCATAAAGTAGAAGCTTTGAAAAATCTAAAAATTGGAAATCAAGAATTTAAAAAATTAAAGAAACAAAAATTAAAAAATCGAAAGATTAAAAAATGAGAGAAACTTAAAAATCGAAAAAGTGCAAAATCGAAAAAACGAAATTTTGTAAAATCGAAATATATATGTATTGAAAATTAAAGATCGGAAAATCGGATAAATGAGAAATCGAAAAACTTCAAAATTGAATAATTTAAAAATTGGAAAACCGAAAAATTGAAAATTTGAAAATTTGAATAAACGAAAAATTGTGATATAAAATCGAGAAAATGAAAATTAAAAAATCAGGAAAATGAAAAATAAAAAATCAAGAACTTGAAAAATTGAGAAAACGAAAAATTAAAAAAAAATCTTTTCTCAATGTGAAATTTCTCAATTTTTCGATTTTTCAATATTTAGATTTTTTATTGTTCGTTTCTCAATTATAGATTTTTCAAATTTTCGATTTTTCGACTTTCATTTCTTCAATTTTTTATTGGAAATTTTTGTAGCTTTCAATTTGAGTATGTTACAATTTTAAAATTTTTTCAATTTTTCGATTTTCCAATTTCAGATTTAACCCATTTTTCGATTATTGGGTTTTAAAACTTTTTCATGTATTCCATTTATGAAATGAATATGAAAAAACGAAAAAGTATAAAGTAGAAGCTTTGAAAAATCTAAAAATTGGAAATCAAGAATTTAAAAAATTAAAGGAACAAAAATTAAAAAATCGAAAGATTAAAAAATGAGAGAAACTTAAAAATCGAAAAAGTGCAAAATCGGAAAAACGAAATTTTGTGAAATCGAAATATATACGTATTGAAAATTAAAGATCGGAAAATCGGATAAATGAGAAATCGAAAAACTTCAAAATTGAATAATTTAAAAATTGGAAAACCGAAAAATTGAAAATTTGAAAATTTGAATAAACGAAAAATTGTGATATGAAATCGAGAAAATGAAAATTAAAAAATCAAGAACTTGAAAAATTGAGGAAACGAAAAATTAAAAAAAAAATCTTTTCTCAATGTGAAATTTCTCAATTTTTCGATTTTTCAATGTTTAGATTTTTTTATTGTTCGTTTCTCAATTATAGATTTTTCAATTTTTCGATTTTTCGACTTTCATTTCTTCAATTTTTTATTGGAAATTTTTGTAACTTTCAATTTGAGTATGTTATAATTTAAAAAATTTTTCAATTTTTCGATTTTCCAATTTCAGATTTAACCCATTTTTCGATTATTGGGTTTTAAAACTTTTTCATGTGTTCCATTTATGAAATGAATATGAAAAAACGAAAAAGTATAAAGTAGAAGCTTTGAAAAATCTAAAAATTGGAAATCAAGAATTTAAAAAATTAAAGAAACAAAAATTAAAAAATCGAAAGATTAAAAACTGAAAGAAACTTAAAAATCGAAAAAACGAAATTTTGTAAAATCGAAATATATACGTATTGAAAATTAAAGATCGGAAAATCGGATAAATGAGAAATCGAAAAACTTCAAAATTGAATAATTTAAAAATTGGAAAACCGAAAAATTGAAAATTTGAAAATTTGAATAAACGAAAAATTGTGATATAAAATCGAGAAAATGAAAATTAAAAAATCGGGAAAATGAAAAATAAAAAATCAAGAACTTGAAAAATTGAGGAAACGAAAAATTAAAAAAAAAATCTTTTCTCAATGTGAAATTTCTCAATTTTTCGATTTTTCAGTGTTTAGATTTTTTTATTGTTCGTTTCTCAATTACAGATTTTTCAATTTTTCGATTTTTCGACTTTCATTTCTTCAATTTTTTATTGGAAATTTTTGTAGCTTTCAATTTGAGTATGTTATAATTTAAAAAATTTTCAATTTTTCGATTTTCCAATTTCAGATTTAACCCATTTTTCGATTATTGGGTTTTAAAACTTTTTCATGTGTTCCATTTATGAAATGAATATGAAAAAACGAAAAAGTATAAAGTAGAAGCTTTGAAAAATCTAAAAATTGGAAATCAAGAATTTAAAAAATTAAAGAAACAAAAATTAAAAAATCGAAAGATTAAAAACTGGGAGAAACTTAAAAATCTAAAAAGTGCAAAATCGAAAAAACGAAATTTTGTAAAATCGAAATATATACGTATTGAAAATTAAAGATCGGAAAATCGGATAAATGAGAAATCGAAAAACTTCAAAATTGAATAATTTAAAAATTGGAAAACCGAAAAATTGAAAATTTGAATAAACGAAAAATTGTGATATGAAATCGAGAAAATGAAAATTAAAAAATCGGGAAAATGAAAAATAAAAAATCAAGAACTTGAAAATTTGAGGAAACGAAAAATTAAAAAAAAATCTTTTCTCAATGTGAAATTTCTCAATTTTTCGATTTTTCAATGTTTAGATTTTTTTATTGTTTGTTTCTCAATTATAGATTTTTCAATTTTTCGATTTTTCGACTTTCATTTCTTCAATTTTTTATTGGAAATTTTTGTAGCTTTCAATTTGAGTATGTTATAATTTAAAAAATTTTCAATTTTTCGATTTTCCAATTTCAGATTTAACCCATTTTTCGATTATTGGGTTTTAAAACTTTTTCATGTGTTCCATTTATGAAATGAATATGAAAAAACGAAAAAGTATAAAGTAGAAGCTTTGAAAAATCTAAAAATTGGAAATCAAGAATTTAAAAAATTAAAGAAACAAAAATTAAAAAATCGAAAGATTAAAAACTGAAAGAAACTTAAAAATCGAAAAAGTGCAAAATCGAAAAAACGAAATTTTGTAAAATCGAAATATATACGTATTGAAAATTAAAGATGGGAAAATCGGATAAATGAGAAATCGAAAAACTTCAAAATTGAATAATTTAAAAATTGGAAAACCGAAAAATTGAAAATTTGAAAATTTGAATAAACGAAAAATTGTGATATAAAATCGAGAAAATGAAAATTAAAAAATCGGGAAAATGAAAAATAAAAATCAAGAACTTGAAAAATTGAGGAAATGAAAAATTAAAAAATTTTAAAAAATCTTTTCTCAATGTGAAATTTCTCAATTTTTCGATTTTTCAATGTTTAGAGTTTTTTATTGTTCGTTTCTCAATTATAGATTTTTCAATTTTTCGATTTTTCGACTTTCATTTCTTCAATTTTTTATTGGAAATTTTTTGTAGTTTTCATTTTGAATAAGTTATAATTTTAAAAATCTTTCAATTTTTCGATTTTCCAGTTTCAGAGTTATTCCATTTTTCGATTATTGGATTTTAAAACTTTTTCATGTGTTCGATTTTTCAATTTTTGATCTATTACTGTTACAGCTTTTCAACTTTACAGTTTTGACGATGTTATAATTTTTCGATTTTAGAATTTTTGGCTATACGAATTTTTTTCCCGATTTTTAGTTTTTCAGTACTTTAATTTGCAATTTTTCGATTTTGCATACTTTCGTTTTTAAATTTTTCGATTTTCCAACTTCGCGAATAAAAAATATGGAAAAATTGCAAAATTGTAAAATTGAACAAACGAAAAAGTATAAAATGGAAACGTTGTTTTGAGAATTAAAAATCGGAAAATCGGATAATCGAGAAATTCAAAAACTTCAAAATTGAATATTTTAAAAATAGGAAAACCGAGAAATTGAGACTGAGAAACTGAAAAATCCAAAAATGAAAAATTGTGATACCGAGAAATTGCAACGTTGAAAAATTGCAAATCGAAAAATTGAAAAATTTGGAAAGTTAAAGTTGGAAAAATAATAAATTATGAAACCGAAATATTGAAAAATGGAAAATTAAAGAAAATGATAATTTATAAAATTTGACTTTGCGTATTTTATTTTTTTTATGATACTCCTGTAAATAAAAATAAAGTTATGTATATGTCACGTGTCACGTTAAAATAAATGTAACGAAGCGTGTCACGTGTTTGTTTCAGGTGAGTTTTTCGGGAAAATGGAGTGAGTCAAATTGAACACGGATTCATAAAGCACATATAAAGGAGTATCTCATTGTATAAAGTTGAAATAATATCTACACGATGTTTCTGATACACATAAAATTTAACAACAATCGGTCCAGTGGTTTCGGATATATATATATATATATATATATAAAAATAAGTTTTGTACTTCAGAGGCGAGAGAAGTTCTATCGAAATAAACAATCTTGTAAGATTAATACCTGTTTGTGCGATTTATACTAAAATTAATATGAACTGACTCACTTTTAGAAATAAAGAGAAAACGATGTTTAAAACCAATGTGTGACTTTTATTTTACACCATAAAATTCAACATTTAATCACAACTAGATTGCTGCTTCTAAGAATTAAAGCTTGCAAAAGTAATAAATACTTTGTTTTAAAAAATGCAGATTAATTTATAACACGCCTACTATAACCTTCAGCCGGCATACTGCTGCAGAATTTTATTCCATTCCTTCGGATAATTCTTTTGTACGAAAGCAAGCACCTTCTTAATCTGACTCATTTCTTGAGGACTGCATTGGGGACAAGAACCTCGTAAAACCAAAGGAGCCAGACCTAAAATGTTTCCAGCATTAAAACAACACTCTAAAAGATTTGTGTGATTTCAAGGAGTCAAATTAAAGTCGCTTTCTAGTGAAAGCTATAAGTGACATCATTTTATACTGGCTGCAATTAATGTTGTAATGTCGTAGGTTTAATACAAATGCGTGACCTTAACTAACTGTAACTAAGTACTACAACACAAAAATTCAGTAATAAAAACTTACTTTTTAGCCTCCGTCCCACAGGATCACATGGTGCCTCACCGAGAGCACACTTAAGTTGTCTCAACAAATATCTCTTATCATTTAAAGTAGCTTGAATTTGATCGTCTGATATTGGTGTTCTTGTGGTAGGATCTAAAGCAGCATTTACGACGGCCACTATTAAACCGACAAGTAAACAAATCTACAAATTTTAAATTATGAAGCTTAAACTTAAAGAATTCAGTTTACTTACTTGTAAGAAGGAATACATGTTGAATGGGCAGTAAACAGTAAGAGACTGCGAGTGGAAGTCTATAAACATGCAGCACGAAAATTAGCCTCGATATTTGTCCTTATCAACTTATATATACATGGAGCGGGCTCGAGTTTGATGGCGTTCTCGATTGTTTTTGCTGTTTTCATTACTTTCACTGCCAGGAATTACCAAAATTAAAATCTTGACTAAGGTAAGGAGCTGCAGTCTGAAAAACACTTTCGTTTTAGATGATTCAGTGGGAGTTTTATTCGTTGTTTATGTTGATGAGGTGTGAACTTGTTTAAACTCCGGGTTAACTTTATTCGAAAAGTAAAAACATTTGAGAGTTTAAAGTACAAAGGATTTTACGACTTCAAATTTAGCACGGGAGATTTGCTTAACTCCGTGTGGTGACTCATTACACTTTCGAAACTATTATACCTACTGATTTCCCAATATTGTAGAGAATTTTGTTTCAAACCTTTATTTTCTACGTGTAAAATTCTGAATTTCGATTGCGCTAATAATAAATCTAGAAGTGTAGACTCTTAATTAATACTGTACGTCTTTAAGATTTATTCGTTAAAATTTTAAAATGACGTCTTCAATGTTTTATTGGGAAAGGATAAATTGATAAATTTTGATTAACGATTACTATGCACATCTACGATAAACGTAAAAATTTTGCAAGATTTCAGAACACGAAAGAAATATGTCTCCCGTTTCCATCTGTCTGTCTGCTGTCTGCCTGGATTTTTATTAGACAGATAATATCTGGAACTACTAGACTGATCGTTGTCAAATTTTATGTGTGTATTATGTTTATCGTGTAGATGGTAAAACGTTAATTAAAATTTGGCTAACTATCCCCATCAACAATAGAATGACGTCAACTCGAAATTTACACTAGAAAATATTATTTAAATTTTACATTAGACATCGAGATTATTTTGGAAAAAACGAAAATTGCAAAATTTTTGGAATTTTTCGATTCTTTAATTTCTCGATTTGTTTAAATTTTCGATTTCTCGATTTCTCTTTTTTCCGCCAATGTGAGTTTTACAATTTTTCAACTTTTAGATTTTTCGATTTCTCTATTTGATAATTTCTTAATGTTTCTATTTTGGGATTTTTCAGTTTTCGATTCTACAGTTTTTCGATTTATCGATTGATCAAATTTTTGATGTTTATTTTACTTCCCGAGCGTAAGCAAAGGAAGTATTGTAATCGAGTCCGTCGGCCGACTCTCTACTTTTACGTTTTCTCGATCTTTCATGACCCCTAGAAGACGAAGAAATAGGTCTCCCATTTCCGTCTGTCTGTCCGTCTGTCCGTCTGTCCGTCCGTCTGTCCGTCTGTCCGTCTGTCCGTCTGTCCGTCTGTCTGCCGTCCCGGATTTTTATTAGACAGATAATCTCCGAAAGTACTGGACCGATTGTTGTGAAATTTTGTAGTTATATTAGGAATATCATGTAGATGGTAAAACACTAACCAAAATTTGTCTAATCATCCCCACCACTAATGCGATGACGTCATTTCAAAATTGTACATAGTAAATGGATTTTAAATTGTATAAAATAACATAGTCCTACACATGTAGTTTACGACTCCGAGTTGAGTTTTTACCCGAAACGTCCAGTTTTTTGAAAAAAAAAAAATCAAAATTATAAAACACCATTTTGCAATTTAATTTTGAATCTGCTAATCCGAATGCTTTGAAATGTTGGAGATGTTTTAAGGCTATAAAGAGCATCATAAATTTTTAGTCAAAATATATTTGCTTATCCCCTCCAAAAACTTGATGACGTCAGCTCAAAAGTTTGCCGAATAAATCCGATCTAAAATGTACAAAATATGATGAGTCTGTACTTGTGATATATCACTCCATTCATATTTTTTGGATTTGCATATACAGGGTGACTCAAAAAAATTAATGAATGCGTAAATTTATTTTACTGATTTACTCAGGAACTACAAAACCGAATGCTTTGAAATCTTGAAGGTGTTTTAAAGTTATCATAAGCATGGTAAGTTTTTGATCAAAATGTATTTGCTCATCCCCTCTAAAAAATGTATGACGTCACCACAAAATTTTGCCGATTAAATCCTATCTAAAATGTACAAAATATGATGAGTCTTTTCTTGTGATTTATCATTCCATTCATAATTTTTGGATTTGCATATACAGGGTGACCAAAAAAAATTAATGAATGGGTAAATGTATTTTATTGATTTAATCAGGAACTCCACAACCGAATGTTTTGAAATCTTGCAAATGTTTTAAGGTTATAAAGAGCATAATAAATTTTTAGTCAAAATATATTTGGTTATCTTCTACAAAAAACTGATGACGTCAGCTCAAAAGTTTGCCGAATAAATCCTATCTAGAATATACAAAATATGATGAGTCTGTACTTGTAATTTATCATTCCATTCATATTTTTTGAATTTGCATATACCGGGTGATTAAAAAAAAATAATGAAATCTACGGCGAAAAAAAACATAATAGACATGCAGTCGTCACGTTTCCGACAGCGCGGGAAGTACTGTCTAAACTCTTTGGACCAATTTTTTATGTATTAATTTCTTTCTTTTTGATTTTTCAATTTTTCGTTTTGTAAATTTATATTTTTTGACTTTTCGGCTTTTGATTTTGCGATTTCCCAAACTTTTAATTTTTCGATTTCTCGATCTTTTAATTTTTCAATTAGTCGATGTTTCGATTTCTCGGTTTTTCGATTTTTTGACTTTTTGATTTTCCAATGTTCTTATGTTTCGATTTTTCAATTTTTAGTTTTTTTAATTTTTCGTTTTTTTGATGTTTCGATATTTTTTCAATTTATCGATTGATCAATTTTTCAATATTTGAGTTTTGGGATTTTTAAATTATTAGATTCAGTTTATACTTTATTTTTTTTATGTTTTAAATTTTCGATTTTTGGAGTTCGAGATTTCTCCCTTTTTTGATTTTTCAGTTTTTCAATTTTTCACTTTTTTGATTTTTCGTTTTGTAAATGTAAATTTTTCGATTTCGGGTTATTCCGATTTCTCGAAGATTTGGTTTTCCGATGTCTCGATGTTTCAATTTTCCAATTTTTTAATGAGTCGATTTTTCAATTTCTTGTCTTTTCAGTTTTTCGTTTTTTTTTAATTTTACATTTTTAGATTTTACGATTTTTTAATTTTTTAATATTTCGGTTCTACGATTTTTCTAATTTTCTATTTCAACTTCATATTTTTCAATATTTAAAATTTTTCAGTTTTTCGATTTTTCAAGTTTTCGATTTCTCAGGTTATCGATACTTCAAATTTTGTAAATTGTTCTTGTTCATTTGTTGATTTTTTCTATTTTTCGATATTTTAATTTTAGAGTTTTCGGTTTGGCGATTTGTCGACTTCTCGATTTCTCCCTTTTAATGATTCGATTTTTCCTTGGTCTTTTGATGTTTGAAATTCTCTGTTTCAGTTTTGTCGATGTTTGGATTTTTCCGTTTTTTCATTTTTTAAAATTTTTTATTTCGAAATTTTCCGCTTTTCCATTTTTCGATTTTTTTTTTGATATTTGAATTTTTTTAATTTCGAATTCTCGATTTTTTAATTTTTCCACTTTTCGACTTTTCGATTTTTCTATTTTAGAATTTTCGATTTTTCGACTTCTACATTTCAAGAATTGGATTTTTCGATTTCTCGATAATCCCTATTTTCAAATTTTTTGTTCGGTTTTTCAATTTTTCAGTTTTCGAGTTTTCGGTGTTCTAATTTCTCGGGTTTTCGTTTTTCAGAATATTTGATTAATCGGTTTATCGATTTTTTTTATTTTTAGATTTATCGATTGATCAATTTTTCGATATTTGAGTTTTAGGACTTTTCATTTTTTGGTTTTCCGGTTTCTCGATTCTCAATTTTCTGATTTTTCCGGTTTTTGGTTTCTTAATTTTTAGATTTTTTGACTTTTTGATTTCACGATTTTTCAATTTTTCAATGTTTCAGTTTTGTGATTTTTCAGTTTTCGATTCTTCAATTTTTTGATATTGTAATTATTTTATTTCTTAAATTTTAATTTTTTGGACTTCTCGATTTCTCGCTTTTTGATTTTTCGTTTACGCGATTTTTTTTTGTTTTCCACATTTACATATTTCGACTTCTCGAACTTTTCGGCTTTTCTATTTTTTTTTGATTTTCCAATTTTTTGGTATTGCGAATTTTTAATTTTTCGTTTTATCGATTGATCAGTTTTTTGATCTTTCGATATTTGATTTTTCGATATCTAGATATTTCAATTTTCTAATTCGATATTTTGATTTCTCGTTTTTTGATTTTTCAGTTTTTCAGTTTTTTTACTTTTTTGATTTTTCGTTTTGTAAATCTAAATTTTTCAATTTTGGGTTATTCCGATTTCTCGAAGACTTGATTTTCCGATATCTCGATCTTTCAATTTTCCAATTTTTTGATGGTTCGGTTTTTGAATTTTTTAACTTTTCAGTTTTTTATTTCTTCAATTTTTCGATTTTTTTTAATGTTACATTTTTCGATTTTTTATTTTTTTAATATTTCGACTCTACGGTTTTTCGAATTTTCCATTTCGACTTCTCGGTTTTTCAATGTTTAAAATTTTTCAGTTTTTCAATTTTTCAAGTTTTCGATTTCTCAGCTTTTCAACACTTCAAATTTTGGAATTTGTTCTTGTTCATTTGTTGATTTTTCTATTTTTCGATATTTTAATTTTAGAGTTTTCGGTTTGTCGATTTCTCGACTTGTCGACTTTCGTTTTCTCGATTTCTCCCTTTTAATGTTTCGATTTTTCCTTAGTCTTTTGATGTTTGGAATTCTCTATCTTTCAGTTTTTCAACGTTTGGATTTTTCGGTTTTTTGATTTTTCCACTTTTCGATTTTTCGAAATCAATTTTCAATTTTTTTATTTTTCAGTTTTTCGATTTTTTGGTTTTCGAGTTTTCGGTTTTCCAATTTCTCGAATTTTCGTTTTTTCGAATATTTGATTAATCGATTAATCGATTTATCGATTTTTTAATTTTTAGATTTAACGATTGATCAATTTTTTAATATTTAAATTTTTTTATTTGTTAAATTTTAGATTTTTCAATTTTTCGATTTCTAGTTTTTTGATTTTTCAGTTTTTCAATTTTCAATTTTTCGTTTTGTAAATTTAGATTTTTCGATTTTGGGTTATTTCGATTTCTCAAACCATTGATTTTTCAATTTTCCAATTATTCGATCTTTCGATTTTCCGGTTTTGCGATGCTTCGACTTTTCGGTTTTTCGATTTTTTGATTTTCCAATTTGTTGATAATTCGATTTCTCAATTTTTCGATTTCCCCATTTAAGTTTTGAAATTTTTCAATTTCTTGATTTTTCTGTTTTTCATTTCTTCAATTTTTTAATGTTTTTATTTTTTTATTTCTTAAATTTTAACTTTGTGGATTTCCCGATTTCTGGTTTTTCTGATTTTTCAGTTTATCGATTTTTCAATTTTTCGTTTTGTAAATTCACATTTTTCGATTTTGGGTTATTTCGATTTGTCGAACTTTTGATTTTCCTTTCGATCTTTCAATTTTCTAATTATTTGATGTTTTAGTTTCTCAGTTTTTCGACTTTTCGGCTTTTCGATTTTTTGATTTTCCAATTTTTTGATGATTCGATTTCTCAATTTTTCGATTTCCCCAATTTTCTACATTTAAGTTTTGAAATTTTTCAATGTCTTGATTTTTCTGTTTTTCATTTCTTCAGATTTTCGATTTTTCAATATTTCGATTTTTGTTGTTTTGATTTTTCAGTTTTTCCGTTTATTTTTTTTAAATTATACATTTTTCGTTTCTACAATTTTTCGAATTTTCCATTTCTCGACTTTTCGGTTTTTCAGTGTTTAAAATTTTTCAGTTTTTCAATTTGTCAAGTTTTCGATTTCTCAGCTTCTCAATATTTCAAATTTTGGAATTTATTCATTTCTTGAATTTTCTATTTTTCTATTTATCCACAGAATTTTCCATTTTTCGATATTCGAATTTTTAATTTTTTTCCTTTTTGATTACTTGATTTTTCAATTTTTCCACTCTTCAGTTTTTCGACTTCAATTTTTTAACTTTCGATTTAAAATTTTTTTATTTATTCTTCAATTTTTCGATTTTTCAATTTTCGATTTTTTAATTTTTGATTTTTCTTCCCGATTCAAGCTAAGGAAATATTGTAAACGGGTCCATCGGGCGACTGGTTACTTTCATATTTTCTCGATGGGTCATAACCTTTAGAGTACCAAAAAATACGTCTCCGGTTTCAACATTCATATTTTTACTTTCTGTGTAAGGTAAGGTTGTATTGTAATAGGGTCGATCGGACGAATGACCACTTTTAAGTTTTTTTGATGTTTCATGGCCTCTAGAGTACGAAAAAAATGGTGTACCGTTTACGTTAGTCTGATTGTCGTTTGTGTCGATTTTTATTAGACAGATAATCTTCGAAACTACTGGACCAGTTGTCATCACAAAATTTTGTATTGGGAAAACTCATTTTAAACCACGGCACAGCACGCTTCCTTATAGAGATGTTAGTGAAAAAAACAGGTTTGTTTTAATTATTGTAAAACAGCTTTTTTTTTGTTTCAAAACACGAAACGTGTTTTTGTTTTAATAGTGTTTTTTTTTAATTATCCTTTTCAGATGTTTGATGTGACTGGATGTTAGTTTTTGCTAGAAAGAGTAGAAATTTTGAAATTTTAATGCAGTATACAAATAATCAAATTTACATTATTTTTTTTATAAAATTCTTTAATGAATAATTTTGCTAGTTTAAGTTATCATAGCATGTTGGAAGTTTCCGTTGTCGGCCAAGTAGTTCAAATCTAAACCCAAAGTTGACATAACCGCAAATTTTAAATTTTTGAGATTGTTAAGGAAACCTTGATTCATACTATTAAATAACAAATACTTTATAGTTTGCGTAAAAAAATATAAAAACTTATTTAATTAAAACTGCTAAAACAAAAACACATTTTAAAACAAAAAACTCGCAAACGTTTTTTTAACATCTATAAGTCTTCCCTTTACTTTATCGGTACATACATATCTTTATTTTAACTTATAAGAATTATATTAAAAAAAAAGAAATTCTCAAAAAGCATACATTATTCCGTCCTCCGAACTTCTGTACTTCATGGGCGAGGGAAGTTCTGTCGACCAATTTTTTTGAAGTGGTTTTTGCTTGATACCACCTTTTAGTATTCAGTTAGTATTCTAATGAAATGAAAAGTCCACAATTTTACTATTATAGAATTCCATATCGATACTGGAGTAGAAATTTCTTTCAAAAGTAGAATCAACACATCCCCGGCTCCCCTAACACTTGTCCACTTCGCAGTTGGCAGTGTGGTTGGTAGTGTTGACAGGTGGTTGACAGATGACAGTGACAGTATCATGTTTGTGAACCAAAATGTTTATGGTGTTTATACGAAAATATACACATATTTATAAAACAGTATATAAAAAATTTACATAAAATACTGCCCCATTAAAATAAGTCCACAAAAATGAGTCTAAATTCACTAATCAACTCGGCCGTCAATGCCAATTCAGTGACAAAAACCCTAACCCAAAAAGTGCGTCAATTTAGGTTAGGTCACCACAGAAATCTTCACTTTGCCACCCAATGCAGCAACAAACCCGTACTAAAAGACACAAACCCTTCCGAAACCACCTCCGAACCCAACGCAAAACCTCCAGAACGCGATAAATTCCGCAACAGATTGCTAAACGGACCTAACCTCAAAGATTTCTTCAAGAACGAAAATCTCAAAAACCAGGAGAACATACCCGAAGAGGAAGTCGTGCCTTATTTGCAAAACACAAATAGGTCCTTATCAAGCGAAAAATCCCCATCCACTAACCCTATCATTCCAGATATGGACAAAAACGCAAAGTGTACTTTGAAGTCTATGGTTGCCAGATGAACGTCAGCGACACGGAAATAATTTGGTCAATTCTGCAAAAACACAACTACGTGAGGACCGAAAACTTGATGGAAGCCAACGTTGTGTTGATTGTAACGTGCGCAATAAGAGAAGGAGCTGAGTCGAAAATATGGGGTCGCTTGGATTACTTGAAGGGGGTCAACAAGACGAAGTCGTTATTCAGTTCTAAGTTTAAAATCGGGATTTTGGGGTGCATGGCCGAACGTCTTAAACATAAAGTGTTGGAGAAGGATCACTCAGTTGATGTGGTGGCAGGCCCTGATAGTTATCGAGATTTGCCTAGATTGCTAGCGCTTACGGAAAACAGTCAGAAGTCGGTTAATGTTTTATTGTCGTTGGATGAAACCTACGCTGATATCATGCCAGTGAGATTAAATGAAAATTCAGTGTCGGCTTTTGTGTATGTCTTGTAATTTTTTATTCGAACTATGTAACTGAAAAAAAAAATTGTAGGTCCATTATGCGTGGGTGTGATAATATGTGCACTTACTGCATAGTTCCATGGACTCGTGGTAGGGAACGCTCACGCCCTATTGACTCAATTTTAAAAGAAATAGAATTATTATCTCAACAGGGGGTCAAAGAAGTAACGCTTTTGGGACAGAATGTGAACAGTTATAGAGACTTGTCAAATTCAAGCGATTTTTATTTGAGTAGTAATCCAACGAAACTAGCTAAAGGGTTTAAAACAGTCTATAAGTCGAAAATTGGTGGTCGGCGTTTCGCCGATCTTTTGGAAAGAGTGGCAGATGTGGACCCAGAAATGAGAATTAGGTTTACCTCCCCACACCCTAAAGACTTCCCTGATGACGTGCTACATATCATTAAATCACGACCCAATATTTGTAAAAATTTACACATGCCAGCACAGTCGGGGAATTCTAATGTTTTAGAAAGAATGAGGCGAGGTTACACAAGAGAAACCTATTTAGAATTAGTAAACCATATTAGATATTTACTGCCAGAAGTTAGCTTAAGTTCAGATTTTATCTGCGGTTTTTGCGGAGAAACTGAAGAGGAGTTTGAAGACACAATTTCTTTGATGAAAATTGTGAAGTAGGTTTGTACTAGACTAGTTTGAGGGATAAAATAAAAAAAAAACTTCCAGGTATAACACTGCCTACTTATTTCCGTATAGTATGAGGGAAAAAACGGCTGCTCATCGACGATATACTGATGATGTTCCACCAGAAGTAAAGCAGAAACGTCTGGAACGAATGATACAGACATACAGAACGCACACAGAAACACTAAACAAGGCTCAAATTGGACGTTTGCAATTAATATTAATTGAGGGTTATAGTAAAAGGTCGAAAAGTCAGTTGGCTGGCAGAAATGATCAAAATATTAAAGTAGGGTTTTTGTATTTTTTTTTTGTGATGTTTGCGATATGTCATTTTAGGTTATAGTTCCTGCAGGGGAAGTCCCGCAGAAGGATGGCAATAACAACAAACTGTTAGAACCTGGTGACTACGTGGTGGTACAAATTAATGCAGCCAATTCTCAAGTTTTAAAAGGAATCCCTTTATACTGCACAACACTGACTGAATACTACATAGAATCTCCAATCGAATTTTCCGACGACGCGTGTGGTTACTACAACATGATGTAAATAATAGAAATGGTTCAATAAACTAGACAAAAACATTTTATTAATTTTAAAAAATCACTCATTACATTGTATACATACGATTAACAATTTTTGGCATTAACAAGTCTTTCTAACGGGAAGCTTCATCCACAATACTATTCATTATTAAACAAATAATACAAAAAATAAATAATGATTTAAGTCTACTCTGGAAGTACGAGACCCTGTAAAATGCATAACGAAATAAATAAATGTAAATGCGTTTTTCGAATGACTAGAAAATAAAAATCACTATTTGTGTAACAAGCTGTTACTTAAGTGCTCTTAGAGTTGCCAAAAGCTGGTCTAGTTCCACTTTGTATCCAATTAATTGCTTTTGTCTGTCGGCACACTGTTCACAGCTGCGGTTGGTGACGTTTTTTTGTGCTAAGCCGTGCACGATAGCTCTTAATCTGATTTCACGTTCTTCGTATCGTTTCTCTAAAAATGCAATCTAAAAAGTAAGGTCAATTAAGGGTAACTAAAAAGAACGTAAAAAATACAATGTGTATAATCAACTAAGTTTTTTCGTTGAAATAATTTAAACAAGTTTGAGAATTACTATATATTTTTTTCTGACTAATTAAATCGAGTTCAAGTACAAGCTGTTAGGGTTTTGACAAATTTCAACATACCCTACAGAGTGATGATAAAATATAAAATTTAATAAACTTCAAGGGAAAATTGTGAACACCTGCCGCATATTTTACACTCTACCCTCGCAATGTTAAAGATTGATTACATCATCGAGGCTTGTCCTCGCAACGCCAAAAATTGATTACATCATCGAGGCTTGTCCTCACAACGCTATAGATTGATTATGTACTTCATCGAGGCATGTCCTCGCAACGCTAAAATATACATCATCGAGGTATTCCCTCGCAACAATAAAATTACATCAACGAGACGCTTTTTCCTCGCAACGATGATTGGAGGTTTTTGTGTCTGTTTATTATGTGTTTTGTTGGGGTAACCAGTTGGCGGTATTCTAAACTCTCAAAGTAAATTGTTTTTTTTTTAAGTAACCAATCACTTGGATCATGATATAATTTAACATAATGTAAAATCTTTGTTTGAATGGTTGATAAAGTGTGGCAAGTATTAATTTCATGTAAATTCTGCAATTTTTACCTCATACAATATTTCTCAATCTCACAGTGTTAACCTCAGTAAATTTTCTTTGTTGTATAATTTTAATTGTATGTAAATTTCAATGCTTTGCAGTTTTAACCTCACATAATATTTTTATTTGCACAAGTTTATTTCACACCAGATCTTTTGTTTCATAAATCTTTGCTAAGTTTTGTTTTGTAAATATTTTGTTTGATGAATGTTTCCATCGTATAAATTATTTGACGTCCAATTTTAATCTCACGTAAGAATTATTTGTTGTTTGAAATTTCACAAGATTGTATGGCGAATTTAAATGTTAAGTATTTATTGCTTTAATAACAGAGTTATAAAGAATTGAACATTTAAAATAGAATTGAGGTTAAATAACACAGAAAACGCGGCAGAAGCGAAGTGCGATTCCTAGTCGAGCTGGCGAGACCTTATCGCGTCGCCTGCACAAAGGGTACAGGTTTGGATACATTCAAGGGCGGTTGCGATGTTGTAGTGCTCTCGACTTGGCCCAATAGTTGAGACCTAACTGCGGATCTGCGATCGTAATGGCCTAGTTTCGGACGGCATGTTCGTCCTAGAGATGTGTAATGTGCTGTGCGGGTAGGCTTGAGATAGATAGAATCACCGTCGTGGGGGGAGAACAGCCCCGACCGGTAGCCCCAAACTCTGCTTGTGGTAGAACGCCCCAGAGGTACTTTTGTTGTGCTCCTGTTAACTGTCGTAACTTAAAAATCTGCCGCCGCACGCCCGTAATAACTTGTGTATTTGCATCCAGTTACTTTAATTTAGATTTTGCTTTGTTTTTATTAAATTTGTGATATTCAAATATTTGCATTGCTTCCAAACATATGTATACGACTTTGTGTTTGTTCGTTTTTCATATGTGTATGTCTGTCAATTCGCGAGTGTCTTTTCTTTCATATTTTTAAGGTGTTTCATTTGAAATGTAATATGTCCGTGAATATACGATAGGGGTTTTTGGATTAATGCAAGGGAGCAAATCCGTGTCGCCTTCACTCGCAGAGTCTTTCCTCCTGAGAGGCGTGCCATTTTAGCCCCTCCCAAAAATTTTGTCTATTATTTCTTGCGCTCTCTACTCGCACGCAGTGTATGCTCACTTGTATGAAAGAACGTCTTCCCGCCATGTTAAAAAAAAAACAAACACACAACGTAGGTTCCCATTTTGTTAGACGATCCCAGTCAGGCCAAATTTTGAATTTTTCGCGGGCCTTTCAAACTTTTTCATGGTCAATTTAAAGGCGGGAAGTTTGGGTTATCACAATGTTGAAATTCAAGCTGTGAGAAAGTAGTTCGGTTCGTAAGAAAATAATAATACAAACATAAAATACGGTTTCTACTTGGAAACCACGACGATATTAATTTAACTAATAATAATTTTCAAGGTCTTTTCTCTCAAAATGAATCGTTTTTTTTTAAATCTCGAGTGACTGTTTATGTAGTGTGTTCTCAGGTTATCACAGACTCCTAATAATGTAAATAAATCCATCCAAAACTGTGGACATCATTGTTATAAACTTAAACCGGAATAAGTGGGTTTTCTGTCACGTGCTTTATTTGGAGATATATATGGTTGTTAAATTGTATTAGAAGCATGAACAGTTAAAAAACTTAATATGAACTGTGAATTTACAATGAAATAAAAAATTACACATGTTGATAGAATAGTCAAAGTTTTATATATTTCAGATTAGAAAAAATCATTAATTCACTGGTTTTACACTAATTATACTAGTTGAGCGAGACTGTAGTGTCGAATGCGATTCATTTTTATTGAAACAATTGTTGTTTTATGAAATTACAAAGTTCTACGTTAAAATACATGTTTACACTTAAATAATATTCGGTCGTGGGTTCGATGCCGAACTTGGCTTGGCCCTTTCTTTTTTTTGCACTGGCACTGACCACTTTTCTTTTGTGCTGTGACTAGTATTATTCATGTTGATGACGTCATTACAAATTTTTTATTGGTGAAATTAAGAACGAGTCAGCTATCCCATTTTATTCGAAAATGTGAGAATACGCACGTCTATACAGGGTGTCTCAGAAATAAGTACATTAATTTTAACCAGTAACAGAACTCGTGAAACGGAACAACTTTTTTATTTAGCATTTTTTCGAAAACTCAAGTCGAATTTCGAATTTTCCCACCCATATATTCACGAACCGTCTATGTTCACCTTAAATAATAACTTAAATAATAGCAACACTACAACAATGAAGAAGGTACCCTAGCAACCGTTTTGACACTGACAATCATTTTTATGTCAATGTTTTTATTAAACGTTGTCTCTTTAAAGTTTGTTTGGCACAGATTTCTAATTTATAGACGAAATGTGTTGAAATGGCTTTGTTTTCAAATCTTGAATGCACCGATATCGTTTTAACGTACGGTGAAGCTCGGGAAAACGGCACTCGCACCCAACGAATTTTTTCAGAAAACCTCCCAAATCGTCTGCCAAATGTGGGCAGTTTTAAGAACGTTGCAGCATTTTGGAGAGAACGGATCTTTTAAACCTGCACCTCAAGATCGGGGTAAGTTACGTAGTAATAGAATTGCTAATATTAAAGAGGCTGTTTTGAAGAGTGTCGAAGCTCGACCGGGCACTAGCACGTATCACTGTCTAGTGTGATGTATCGGAGAGTAGTATTTGGAGGATACTCAGAGAACAAATGTACCCCTTTCAGGACTAGAAATTTCAGTTATTGAAACTAACAGACTTACCACGTAGGCAAAACTTTTGTGAGTGGGTTAATAGAAAAATAAACGAACAAGCAAATTTTGTATCTCTTGTACCATCAACTGATGAGGTCGGTTACACGAGGGAAGGTGTTCAACACCCATATTTGGGCCGATGAAATTCCGTACGCCATTAGGGAGCAGGATTTTCAATTTCTCTCTAAATGTTTGTCACATTGACAAGATTAGGAAAATACGTATCCTAGTAACTGTTTTTGACCATAAATTATTAATTATAATAATTATTAGTGTCCATGGGTGACTGAGGATCCATGGGCGGGTAACCTTAATTGGGGTATAACTTTAACAATTTTTAACTTGATCATTAAAAAGTTCTTGACAAAACTCTACTAAGAAAAGTTGTTGAGTTCAATGCGCTCTATAACTGATTAAAATTAATGTACTTATTTCTGAGACACCCTGTATAATAATGATCAAATAAGAATTATAATGTTCAGAACATGTTGTTCGATTGTGGTTTAATTAGTAATTTTAGTCATGTATTTTGAGAAGACAAATTCATTCAAATCGAGCTAATTTCTACGTGACATACTTTCGATGTATAAAACATACATAAACACTTGAGCTTCATATTGCTATTATCTAGTGCTGAAGGACATTTTATGCCGTTAGTTTTGTGTTTTAAATATATTTTACATTGTCCGTACGGCGCAGGAACTGCGGTTATCACAAAACGAAAATCGTAAAATGAAGTTTTATATATTTTTTTAAACAGCTGGATTTGTCGGATTATACTAACTTATCTTTATTTAATTACGATCAAATAAGAACATTTTATTCCATTGTGGTTTAATTAATAATTTTAGTCCTCTGTTTTGAGGAGACAACACAAATTCCTACGTGACATTCTTTCGATGTATAAACATAAACAATCGAAGTTAAGCATGTACACTGATAATAATCATTCTTTTCCGTTGGTTATTTGCGCCTCCGCGGCACAGGGGATTCGAGGTGTCATTTACACCACTGGTTTTTAATGTATAAAGGTTATCAGAAAACAACAGATTTTTATAATTTTCAAAGAAGCGGAATTTGTTGGACTGTACTTCAAGAGCGAGAGAAGTTCTGTCGAAGTAACCTTGGACCAATTTTTTTAGATTCCTGTAGTTTGTTTTCGTCAATTCATTTTTTTCGAGAAATTAAAAAATTTGATTTGCAAATTTAATTTAACCTGCATGCAACGCTAGGTATCAAGTTAGTTTTCCATAAAAAACGTGTGATGACGTCATCAACTTTTTGGCAAAACCACATATTAATTTGCACATTTTAGATAAGATTTATTCCGCAAAAGGGGGGGGGGGGAGGGGTGTAAACATAAATTTCGATTAAGTTTGCAATATTTTAGAACATTCGTTTTGTTAGTTTTTAAGGTAAATTGAAAAATGTTATATTTTTTTTTTGAAAAATTTAGATTTAGGATAAAAAAATTATACCGCACTCATAAACCACAAGTATAGAAGCATTGTCTTTATTACTACCTGTTTATTTTGTTTAAAATTGATGTAGCGTGTGATAGCTTTCGTTTGATTGAAAAAGGGTTTTAGTTATAAAATTGTAATTTTGACATTTATGTTTTCTAAAACGTCAATTCTCTGTCAATACGTCTGATGTAGTAAGTATCTAGTTCTATGCTGATGGATTTGTTCGTCTTTACAGATTATGAATATTTATTGTATTGTTACGTTTGGCGGGCAATTTATTCCTTAATAACTCGTACTTACACGATTAACTATTACAACGATTATGTACAAACTATTTTCGGCGCAATTGGGCTCTTCTTAATATTCGCTGGACTCGTGGTTCAACTGACGGTGGCCTCTATTTAAACCTATGCGTGCCTCTCGATGGATGCAGAACGCCGCATCGAGAGTTTTCTAGGCCCGCAATCGAGACTTCCTTTGTGGAGCCGCGTCGACACCGTCAGCAATGATGACTCACCCATCAATGCCGTGCGTACGTCCAGAAAACTCTCGACGGCCATAGGCGTCGTACGGGCGCGGCGTATGGGTTTATTTCGTAACAGTATTTCGCTCAATGCCCAGGAGTCAGAACTCAAGTTTATGCCGAAAAATGAAACTCGAGGCGAACGCAAAGAAAATTTAAGGAACAAATATAAGGAAAAAAATACTTTATTCACTATCAGTATTAATAAATACTCTAAGAACTATCGTGACTGTTAAAATATCTGAGTGTTTTGGACAGTCAGCGGCTCCTAAATCTGATTGTAAATAATAATCTGAACCAGAGTGAGATTCTTGCAGGTTTATTATGAAGGGGGAAATATAGGTAATTGGAAAATTGCAAATTAATTCTTTCACTAAGTGTTATTGTTAAGTACGTAACAAATTGTTAAACAGCACATTTGGGGTCTCTTGAGGACTCAACTAGACAAACAAAGTCATAAAAACTCTTTGATTCCTTTCGGTGAACGGATGAACCAGCGTCACTAGCACCCCCCAATCCCTGCGCCATGGGAACGCAAATTTCAATTATTATTTTATCATCATTAAATATCGCCGAGCGCATTCTCTATTCTCAAGAAAATAGGGGGGACTCATTCTTAATTTGATCAATAAACAATTTTGTGATGATGTGATTAACATAGATAATACTAGTAACAAGACAAAAAATACAAAAATGTAAAAATTGTTTTGATTTGAATGAGTTTGTCGCCTCAAAACAGGGGACTAAAATTATTGATGTAGTCACAATCGAACAGGATGTTCTGAATATTATTATTATAATTTTTATTAAATAAAGATGGGCGTATTCTCACGTTTTCGAAAAAGTGGGGTAATTTTATCAGAAAAAAAGTTGCTATGACCTCATAAATATAGATAATACACAATGCGAGAGAAAAAAAGAAAAGAAAAACGAAAGGCCAAGTTTGAAGTCGAACGCGTGATGTCCGGTCCGTATTTCTCACACTAAACCACTAGACCACCATAGGGATGTTTTACTCCAATTGTGACCTACTATTGTACATGTTTTGATAGTCGTTCTCATTAGCAGACCCATTTATAACGTATGCACTAATCAGGAAGCAATTAAAAATCGAAATTTACCGTTGTACCAATAAATCTGCTTTTTAATGCCACTTTTACTATTTCTCACAGAAATTGCTTTGTTCCAGGCCGAACTCCAGCAGACTAGTATTCTTCTTAATCAAACCAAAGCCGCACTAAGTGCCAAATCGTTATGTACGCCCGAGATAAACGTAGAACTCGAAAAAGTACTGGAAGAATTGAAAGATTCCAAAGAAGTGAACACAGTCTTACAGATGCAACTTGACACAATAAATAAAACGCATTGCCTTTTAAAAAACTCATACGATGATCTCTTAGCTTCTAATAAAAACCTAGAACGTAGAGTAGTAGAATTAGGCACTTCATTGAGCAAGTACAAAACCGAGGTTGTTAATCTACAAAATCAAAAAGACAAACTCTTAGAAAACGAAATTAACTTAAACAAGTTATTAGAAATCGAAAAACTGCAAGCCAAGAGTCTGAAACTGCAAAACGAGAAAGACGCCAAATGCATCCAAGACTTGAACAGACAGATCAAAGAGATGGAACGGATAATAGCTAGAAAGCACCCAGATTCCGTTTCCGCGTTGATAGTAGCAGCGAAGAATGACGCTACAGAATCGAACATGACAGCGAGGAAGATCCTAGAAGATAGAATAAAAATCCTGGAAGAAGAAGCCTCGAATTGTGACACACAATCCTCTAGGATCTTCCTCGACATTCAAGAAAAGTTCAATCAAATGAAACTCAAGTACGAGAGTCATATTGAAGATCTTGAGTTACACGTAACCGACTTGAAGACTCAGCTAAAGAGAAAGATCGATATTTTTGATGTTTACACCCGAACTATGAACGACGAAACGAAGATACCTCAGAAAGACACGATAACCGTTGCTACGCAAACCGATCAACAAAAACCTGCTAAACGTGCCGAGGTTAAAGAAGACGCTCATTTATTGGCTACGATAAGAGGCTTGCAGGCGGATTTGACCAATAAGGGGAAAGAGGAAAACATCAAATCCGATCCAAAAAAGTTGTGGTCGTATGTACAAACAAAAAGGAATAAATCACGTATCCCGAATAGAATAAAAAATTCACTAAACGAAGTATTTGATGGTTCTGCAGCTGTTGTTAATGCTTTTTGTGATTATTTCTCCAGCGTTTATGCTGACTCCAATTTTGATTATAAGGCTTCAGCAACTGATTTTGATTCCAATTTTGTAAATATTACCTCTTTCTCAGAAAAAGATATCTGCGATTCAATAAAAAAAACTGAAAGCAAAAGTTACAGCTGGTACCGACCAAATACCTGCATTTGTTATTAAAGACTGTCGATCAGTTTTTGTCAAGCCACTCTTCATTCTCTTCAATTTGATATTAAAAAAATGCTTATTTCCAGATATATGGAAACAAGCTCGAATATGCCCTGTTTTGAAAAAAGGAGATTCTTCAATTCTAGAAAATTATAGGCCTATTTCTATCTTATCTAACTTTTCAAAAATATTCGAATCAATTCTTTACAAATATATTTACAGCTCCATCAAATATAAAATAACTGACACACAACATGGCTTTATGCAAAATAGAATACTAATTTAGCGTGTTTTAGCCAGTTTCTCCATGAGAGTCTGGATTCTAATACTCAAGTCGATGTGATTTACACCGATTTTGCTAAGGCGTTTGACCGCATCGATCATTATGTTTTATTACACAAACTGCATTTATTTGGATTTAGTGATTCCTTAATTGAATTACTCAAATCATATTTAATCAATCGTGCTCAATCAGTAGAATATAAAAATGTTCATTCTAAATACATAATACTTAAGTCAGGAGTCCCGCAAGGTTCTAACTTGGGTCCTCTGTTGTTTCTCATATTTATTAATGATTTACCTGCAGTTATCAAATCTCAAAAACTTCTTTTCGGGGATGACTTAAAAATTTTTCGGCAAATAAATAACATAGAAGATTCTATTATCTTACAAAATGATTTAATCTCTCTTTATAATTGGTGTAGAGCTAACCTGCTGCATCTAAATATCAACAAGTGCTTGATTATGACCTTTACTAGAAAAACTAACTATATTCTATACACCTATAAGATTAATAATGTCGCACTCACTCGGAAGGAATTGGTGAAAGACCTAGGCGTCCTCTTCGATAAAGAACTGAGTTTCTCTGACATTGATACTGTAGTAAAGTCAGCTTTTCAAATGTTAGGCTTTATATATAGGAACTGTAAACATTTTGGCAGTACAGAATGTGTAAAAATTTTATATACTGCATTCGTTAGATCAAAACTCGAATATGGTTCACTAATTTGGTATCCGATCTATGACGTCCATATTAACCGCATTGAATCAGTACAAAGACACTTCCTGAAGTATTTATTTTTTAAACATAACGAGTTTTATCCACCACGTGGCTATAGTCAAACATTACTTTTGCGTGAATTTAAGTGTTTATCCCTGGAAAATCGACGTGCAATACAAACAATTAAATTTTTATATGATCTACTACATAATTTTATTGACTGTCCAATACTGCTAACGAAAGTGAACATTAATGTTACTAGGCTTAGTGCAAGGCATCTACAAACCTTTTATTTAAACAAACCAAGAACCAACATGCTCAAAAAATCCCCAATTAACATATTATGTAGTAACACAAATTTGTACTGCAGCAATTTCGATGTGTTTTTCGATAGTTTTAGTAGTATTAAACGGCTTCTGTGCAATAACTTCGGTAGCTGACTTATTAAAGTTCTATTATTATTCTATATGTTATAGTTACATTCTATCTAAATTTTAATTGTATAGCATAAAATAAGTAATACCAAGCCTAATTTAAGATAAGTTTACTGCTTGTTCTATCGAATATTTATATCTTTATGTCTGTTGTTTATTCTGTTATTTATGTGTACTTTTATTTACTTAATTTAAATTGTGCCATTTAGTAACATCTAATTTTAGTCTAAAATATTTCTCTATATTTAGCATGTTTATTAACTTTTTCCTGTATTTGGGTTAATCCTGTTGGAAAATAAACTATTATTATTATTATAAAAGAAATTGTGGTAACCGTACAAGAAGTACATAGGTATCAAACAACGCAGAACCAACTAGGTTTCAGATTTTTTTTTTATAAAAAGTTTTTTTCTAGTAAGCGATATCGTGCTTTATCGACTCAATTAACAACCATTTTTTAATTTTTATAAATATAAATATGATATATTTCATCATCACTCCGTATATTAAATTATAAAAATAATCACTTTTTTATCTTAGTTGATTATACATCAGGAAGCGGTTAAAACTACCACTTACCTTTTTTTGTAAGGCATCGATTTCTCTATCGTCACTCTGTCCCCTTGCCTGTTTCTTAGTACCCATCTGCCCCAGCTGCTCGTTCAAATGGTCCCTTTCAACCGTGACGATAACCAACTCCTCTTTAGCAGAACTCAGCTGATTTTGCAGAGTCGACAACGAAACTTGCTGCAACTCGAGCTGCTCTCTAAGAGGGGTAACATTAGCAACGTAGGCAGCAATTTCACGTTCGTGTGCTTCTTGTAAAGCACTCAACTAAAAACAAACAACAAAAACTCTCCTGTCTTAACCAACAAACACCTCCAACTCACATCGTGTAATCTTTTATTTTTCAAAGTTTGATAATCCTCCTCGATTCGACACAGCTGCTGTTTCATTTTATCTCGATCCGATCTCAAAAACTTCAATTCTTCTTCGTCGACGGGAGTTTTCACCTGCGCAGCCAATTTTTCTGGATAACTCCGGAACTCTTTTCTCTCGTTCAAACTCCTCAAGCTCCCTTCACGCTCCTTCTGCAGCTTCCTGTTGGTCTTCTTCAATTCATCTAACTCTCGCTGCAACTTCGAAACCACTTTCTCCTTATTGGTCAAATCCGCCTGCAAACCTCTTATCGTAGCCAATAAATGAGCGTCTTCTTTAACCTCGGTACGTTTAGCAGGTTTTTGTTGATCGGTTTGCGTAGCAACGGTTATCGTATCTTTCTGAGGTATCTTCGTTTCGTCGTTCATAGTTTGGGTGTAAACATCAAAAGTGTCGATCTTTCTCTTTAGCTGAGTCTTCAAGTCGGTTACGTGTAACTCAAGATCTTCAATATGACTCTCGTACTTGAGTTTCATTTGGTTGAACTTTTCTTGAATGTCGAGGAAGATCCTAGAGGATTGTGTGTCACGATTCGAGGCTTCTTCTTCCAGGATCTTTATTCTATCTTCTAGGATCTTCCTCGCTGTCATGTTTGATTCTGTAGCGTCGTTCTTCGCTGCTACTATCAACGCGGAAACGGAATCTGGGTGCTTCCTGGCTATTATCCGTTCCATTTCTTTGATCTGTCTGTTCAAGTCTTGGATGCATTTGGCGTCTTTCTCGTTTTGGAGTTTCAGACTCTTGGCTTGCAGTTTTTCGATTTCTAATAACTTGTTTAAGTTAATTTCGTTTTCTAAGAGTTTGTCTTTTTGATTTTGTAGATTAACAACCTCCGTTTTGTACTTGCTCAATGAAGTGTCTAATTCTACTACTCTACGTTCTAGGTTTTTATTAGAAGCTAAGAGATCATCGTATGAGTTTTTTAAAAGGCAATGCGTTTTATTTATTGTGTCAAGTTGCATCTGTAAGGCTGTGTTCACTTCTTTGGAATCTTTTAATTCTTCCAGTACTTTTTCGAGTTCTACGTTTATCTCGGGCGAACATAACGATTTGGCACTTAGTGCGGCTTTGGTTTGATTAAGAAGGATACTAGTCTGCTGGAGTTCGGCCTGGAACAAAACAATTTCTGTGAGAAATAGTAAAAGTGGCATTAAAAAGCAGATTTATTGGTACAACGGTAAATTTCGATTTTTAATTGCTTCCTGATTAGTGCATACGTTATAAATGGGTCTGCTAATGAGAACGACTATCAAAACATGTACGTTGACACAGGTTAAGGTTACACATAATTACCGCAACGATAACTTATTATTGTTCACCATTGTTTGACAACAATGTAAATGAGGTACCTCCATATACACATTACTCAATTATTCCTTTAATTAATTATTTATGGCTGATTTAAAATTGATTTATTTTGTACAATTACGGATGGTCAAAAATGTGAAAGGTGTTAACTCAAGCTGCTAAATACGTTTCTAGCCCTATTTATCCCGCAATTTCACCCACAAGAGAAACAAACATACTTTTTATCGGTGTAAAGAAAATTTTATTTTTAGGTGTAGTAGTAATCATGTGAAGAACCCATCGTTAAAATGATAGAAGACGACTTAAAACAGGTTTACCTATGGTAGTTTGGTTGAAGGTTTTTCGACAGGACTTTTCTCGTCTCTTAAGTACAGTTCAACAAATTCCCCTTCATTGAAAAATGATATTGATTGTATTAATAATAAGTAATAACAATAATATTGACACAAAGCATCGCTCTACATAAATCTGAATCCAATTGCTATTCATTTTTCTTTGAAATTCTGGCAATTGTTTTGATTCGTGTAGATATTTGAAACACATGAACGCATGTTATCTAAAAAAAAAAAAGTAATTTCAAACAAATACTTCTCTGAAAAATTATAAAATTCGATTTTGCGGAATTTTACTTTTTCGTGATAACAGTAGGGGTCCCGAGAAGGTTTTACATAAAAAAAAGACATTTGGCGCCACCGAGAAGATTCACATTTTTAAAAAAGACATTTGGCGCCCCCGAGAAGGTTTTAGATTTTTAAAAAAGACAATTGGGACCCCCGAGAAGGTTTCAAATACTTAAAAAAATACAGTTGCGGTCCCGAGAAGGTTTCACATTTTTAAAAAAGACCTTTGGCACCCCCGAGAAGGTTTTCCATTTTTAAAAAAGACAATTGAGACCCCCGAGAACGTTTCACATTCTTAAAAATATACAGTTGGGGTCTCGAGAAGGTTTTACATAAAAAAAAACAAATAGGACCTCCGAGAAGGTTCCACATTAAAAAAAAAGATATTTAGCGCCCCCGAAAAGGTTTTACAATGTTAAAAAAAGACATTTAGCGACCCCGAGATGGTTTTACATTTTTAAAAAGACAATTGGAACCCCCGAGAAGGTTTCACATCCTTAAAAAAATACATTTGGGGCCCCGAGAAGGTTTCACATTTTTAAAAAGGTCATTTGTCGCCCCGGAGAATGTTTTACATTTTTAAAAAAGACAATTGAGACCCCCGAGAAGGTTTCACATTCTTAAAAAAATACATTTGGGGCCCTGAGAAAGTTCCACAATAAAAAAAGATATTTAGCGCCCCCGAGAAGGTTTTACAATCTTAAAACAAGACATTTAGCGACCCCGAGATGGTTTTACATTTTTAAAAAGACAATTGGAACCTCCGAGAAGGTTTCACATCCTTAAAAAAATTGGTCTAAAGAGTTTAGACAGTACTTCCCTCGCTGTCGGAAACTTGACGACTGCATGCCTATTGTGTTTTTTTTCTCATTACATTTTTGTAGTGGGAATTTAAAAAAAAATTGCGATGACGTCATCAATATTTTTGCAAGGACACGTATATCAGTTGGGATAGATGTAGTGTAATACTAAGAATAAAATTATTATATTCTCAAATTTTCGGGAAAATGAATTGGGTCGTTTTGAATATTGATTTGTAATAATCAATAAAATAACGAAACAATTTACTCACGTATACGTATCAGAGGCAACTGAAAATCGTGTATGTATAAACATTCTTAATTTAAGATGACAGGCGTAACAGCATACGTGAGAGTCAAATAGAGAAACTGTAAACAAAAGGACCATCGGTTTTATTGCTTCGACTTCCGCTTATTATATAAAACATTGGGTTTTATTTTAATTCTTGACGGTGAAATTCACAATTGGTTGATTATAAACATGTCTATTTCACATTCGCGGAACCAAGTGAGCGCATAAAACAAATGCAGGTCTGTAATGTTAAAGTCGATGTAAATAAGCGTGCTACCCTTATGTTTCAACCGAGTTTTTCCTTTAACAAATTTTGTGTCTACCAAATTGGGTTGGTTGGGGTGTAATACTAATAATAAGTGTTGCCTTTAATTTAATCAATAAAATAAATTGACTTCATTAATTTTTTTGAACTACCTCTTAAGAAAATCTAAAAAATAGGAATGGAATGATAAATCACAAGTACAAACTCATCATATTTTTTGCATTTTAGATAGGATTTATTCAGCAAAATTTAAGGGTGACGTCATCAATTTTTTTAGGAGGATGAACAAATACATATTGAACAAAAGTTTACCATGCTTATAATAACTTTAAAATATTCCCAAGATTTCAAAGCATTCGGTTTTCTAATTCCTGATTAAATCGATAAAATAAATTCACGCCTTCATTAATTTTTTTGAGTCACCCTGCATATGCAAATCCAAAAATATGATTGGAATGATAAATCACAAGTACAGACTCATCATATTTTGTACATTTTAGATACGATTTATTCGGCAAACTTTTGAGCTGACGTCATCAGTTTTTTGTAGAAGATAACCAAATATATTTTGACTAAAAATTTATTATGCTCTTTATAACCTTAAAACATCTGCAAGATTTCAAAGCATTCGGTTTTGTAGTTCCTGATTAAATCAATAAAATAAATTTACGCATTCATTAATTTTTTTGAGTCACCCTGTATATGCAAATCGAAAAAATTTGAATGGAATGATAAATCACAAGAAGACTCACCATATTTTGTACATTTTAGATAGGATTTTTTCAGCAAAATTTTGTGGTGACATCATAAATTTTTTAGGGGGGACGACCAAATACGTTTTGATCAAAAATTTACCATGCTTATGATAATTTTAAAATATCTTCAAGATTTCGAAGCATTCGGTTTTGTAGTTCCTGAGCAAATCAGTAAAATAAATTTACGCTTTCATTTATTTTCTTGAATCACCCTGTATATGCAAATCCAAAAAATATGAATGGAGTGATAGATCACAAGTACAGACTGATCATATTTTGTACATTTTAGATATGATTTATTCGGCAAATTTTCGAGCTGACGTCATCAAGTTTTTGGAGGGGATAAGCAAATATATTTTGACTAAACATCTATTATGCTCTTTATAACCTTAAAACATCTGTAAGATGTCAGAGCATTCCGTTTTGTAGTTCCTGATTAAATCAATAAAATATATTTACGCATTCATTAATTTTTTTGAGTCACTCTGTATATGCAAATCCAAAAAATATGAATGGAGTGATAAATGACAAGTACAGGCTCATCATATTTTGTACATTTTAGATATGATTTATTCGGCAAACTTTCGAGCTGACGTCATCAAGTTTTTGGAGGGGATAAGCAAATATTTTTTGACTAAAGATTTATGATGCTCTTTATAGCCTTAAAACATCTGCAACATTTCAAAGCATTCTGGTTAGCAGATTAAAAATTAAATTTCAAAATGTTGTTTTATAATTTTGATTTTTTTTCCAAAAATCTGGACGTTTCGGGTGAAAAGTCGATTCAGAGTTGTAAACCACATGTGTAGGACTATGTTATTTTATACAATTGAAAACCCATTTACTATGTACAATTTTGAAGTGACGTCATCGCATTAGTGGTGGGGATGATTAGACAAATTTTGGTTAGTGTTTTACCATCTACATGATATTCTTATTATAAGTACAAAATTTCACAACAATCGGTCGAGTACTTTCGGAGATTATCTGTCTAATAAAAATCCGGGACAACAGACGGACAATGGGAGACCTCTTTCTTCGTCTTCTAGGGGTCATGAAAGATCGAGAAAACGTAAAAGTAGAGAGTCGGCCGACGGACTCGATTACAATACTTCCTTTGCTTATGCTCGGGAAGTAAAAATACATTTGGGGCCCCGAGAAGGTTTCACATTTTTAAAAAGGACATTTGTCGCCCCGGAGAATGTTTTACATTTTTAAAAAAGACAACTGAGACCTCCGAGAAGGTTTCACATCCTTAAAAATATGCAGTTGGGGTCCCGAGAAGGTTTTACATAAAAAAAGGCATTTCGCGCCCCCGAGATGGTTTTACATTAAAAAAAGACAGTTGGGACCTCCGAGAAGGTTTCACATTAAAAAAAAGATATTTAACGCCCCCGAGAAGGTTTTACATTTTTAAAAAAGACAGGTAGGACCCCCGAGAAGGTTTTACAGTCTTAAAAAAAGACATTTAGCGCCCCCGAGATGGTTTTACAATTTTAAAAAAGACAATTGGTTCCCCCGAGAAGGTTTCACATTAAAAAAATATATTTACCGCCCCCGAGAAGGTTCCACAATCTTAAAAGAAGACATTTAGCGCCCCTGAGATGGTTTTACATTTTGCAATAAAGAGGAGCGTATTCTCACCTTTTCGAGAAAGTAGGGTAATTTCATCAATAAAAAATTTGTTATGACGTCATAAACACAGAATACATATTGCCAGAGAAAAAGAGAAAAAAAAATCGAAAATTGTTTCAACAGAACTTCCCTCTCTGCTAACGTACAATGAAAAATATCCAGCATTTTCGAATGGGCGCACAATTTTGTGATGACTTCATCAACACTTTTGCAAGGACATGTATATCAGTTTGGATTGGTGCACTGTAATACTAAAAAGAACAGCATTGTATTCCCAAAATTTTCTGGGAAAATGGATTGAGCCGTTCCTGATTTAATCAATAAAATAAATCGGCTCATCCATTAATTTTTTTGAGGCACCTGTTTAAGCAAAGCTAAAAAATTGGTCGAAAGTTATGTCGACGAAGTGTACTGAAACAAATCCCGCTTGTTCG